TGGGGCTCCTTGTCGCCGCCGATGCGGGGCCTCAGTGTTCTGATGACGGCTGAGTCGAATGAACAGTTTGCATGTTCATGAGACACTTACGGATACGGGCGTCACGTCAGGCGTGCCTGTAATTCTATTCTGGAAGAGGTGGTAAAAATGCAGCTTTTGTCGGGCTGTGAAATGTTGGATTTGATCATCTAGCGTGACTGAGCGAGTCTGCGTAAATGACGGCTGAGGTGATTTACTTGTCATTCCCGGGATAGGCCGTCGGACTCTGTCAACCGGTGTAATGAAATCCGGGCGTAAAGCGAAGACATGCGTCTTTATTTTATGGACAGCATATATGCCATCCCTGGTAGCCCGACATTTCCTCCAAGCACCGCGAAGGGACTGAAAGACGTTTCCAAACGCATGTTATCCTGCCTGGTTGGTGTTTGCGCCCTCCAGACTGCCCCTTAGCTGCAGGAGGACGCACTGAGGGCTGGCATGGGCTGTAGCTGACTGGCCACTTCAGTTCCCGTCTTCCTACGAAATATGCTGTTTAGTGCGTAGACGGCACCCCATGTAGCGCAGGTGTGGAAAGTCCCACACGATTTTGAAAGTTGGTGTGGAAAGCTCCACACCATGCTGAAAGTTGGTGTGGAATGTCCAGAACTCCACACCAACGTATTTGTAGTTATACACCTCCCCCTCCCCCCGCCCCCCCATGTTTGAATTGTCCATAAAGCTCCCTCATTCATCACACTGAAGGGCGTCGGACAATAGCTTGATGCTGTAATAGTTAGACTGAAGGGCGTAACTGTTAGAAGGGCGTCGGACAATAGTTTGATGCTGTAATAGACAATAGTTTGATGCTGTTTGATTCGGTCGTCTGTAACTTCCGCCTAGGCGAGACAGATTGTGTCTGGTGAAGGAGAGCTTTCACGTGTCATGTCACATGACCAAGCCGTTCTTATCTTAGGAAGATATTGGCCGGCAAAGGGAATTTGCCAGTCATTGCCGCGGTGCAGAATCTGGGCTGGGTGAAATCTAGTCCTAATGTGGGTTTGCTTCCCCTGTACTGTTCCACTCGCGTCGAACCGGAGCGCTGAAGCGCGCTCCATGACCACGCAGGAATGCCACCGCCACCTGGGAGCTGATCCCAGGTGATCCACGCCGTGTGACGAGAAGTCTTAGCACTATGGATCTCTTGGCGCCCAATCAGTCAAACAAACAAGCCCTCAGAAGTGATCTCTGGTGTCTGTCGTGCGGCGATCGATGACTTTCATCGGCCGCAGCGAGTAAATGAATGACAAACGGCCGGTATCAATGGGGGCCGCACGCGGCGGCTGCGTGGCCCGTTCCTGCCCTGTGCGCCCCCTCCCCCCTCCCTCCCCCTCCCTTGCGGCCGCTGACCCGGTCTGGCGTTGAGTTGGCAACCTGGCGGCCGGTTCTTGTCGGCTCCGCGCCGTTTTTGTCGCCTGTCAAGGTGCGGTGGGGAAACTGAATACTGTCCACCCGTCCCCGGTCTGGCAACGCGATGCAGCCAGACCTGGCAACACGGTCGCTGGCAGACTTGTATTCGACTCACATTGTTAAGTAGGCCCAGGACTGACTCACAGATTCAGTTAACGATAAATTTGATTCAGCTAACGGCTCATGGTCATTCCATTTTTTTTTTTAAATCGACTCGCTTAAGGCTTATTAGCTTGCATTGAGTCATTTGACCTATGACTCACACAGCTTGGGACTAAAAGATTCGATTTAAATCTGGTTCATTTATATATATATATATATATATATATATATATATATATATATAAATTAGTGCATTGCTTTGATAATTGACGGGGAAAAATATGGCCATTCCTTTGATCTCATTTGTAGCAGCCAATCTTTTCCTCATTTAAGGGTAGGACACAGGAATGTAGGATGTCTGTGCCATGCAATATCATCTAGTTCCTAGCTGAGATTTGATCAAATTTTCGTCAGGACGAACGATATTGTGTCTGCTGCTTAGAAATTACAATTGCAAGCTTCGTGCTGATTTTGCAAAAGCTTTATAACTAATGCTGGACGCTGTTCTTTATAACTAATGCTGGATGTTGTGCTTTATAACTAATGCTGGGTACTGTTCTTTATAACTAATGCTGGATGCTGTTCTTTATAAGACACTGCAATGGTCTGTTAATTTGTATGGAGTGTGCTGTGTTTCCCCATGTTACCATCTTCCTTTGGGCTATGTGACTCGCTGACAACATTGTTAGTAACCATTGGCTCATGATTCAGCTCATGAAATTTACAAAGAATGTGATTCAGCTCATGACTCTAAGCGACAGTTTTTTTCTGGCGAATCGCTTCGGCTCACGACTCATCCCAAAATGATGGACTCATGGGCCGATTCATGATTCGGCTCGAGTCGAACACAGGGTTGGTCACAAGGCCTGGCAGCAGGTCTGGCAACACGGTCCTCAGATCTGGCAACACCGTCCCCAGATCTGCTAACTTTGCCCTGCGTGAAATGGTACATTCGCGGTCTCCTTCGCTCCGCTTTTTCCACTCCATGGAACGCACGCTACGCAGCATGCCCTTCATCGTTTGAAGGTCATGAACAGCGTTTTGTTAAGCTGCTGTTGCGCGCGGCATTGGCTTTAGATCATGGTTCCCGTTCTGAAATTAGGGACTATGGGACTATGGGACTATGGGAGCGCTCTATGCCGGGCTGGTATCTAGGGCTGAAAGGGAACTTTGGGTTCAAATCTACGTAGAAAACAGCGATACAATGAAGCCTCTACTTATATTTACGGATATAATTGAAGTCATTTACTGCCATGGAACCACCAGGATTTGTCTTCAAAACCCTCCATTTCGATTTACAATATACACCATTTATTAATCTCGTATCTTTCGTTTCTTGGCTATGGCAGCTGCAACTTTTTAGAACCACTTTTTAGTCATCCTGCGTGATAAACAGTTTTCAAAGCTCAATGCAGTTGGTACATATCAATGCTTTCCTCGCAGGACCTTTGTCAGTGCTAACGCTTTTGGCCAGGCGCATGTGCGCAACGTTGCACAATATGCATCAATCGCTTATGACTATAACGGCCCGTCTATTTTGGATCAAGCGTGCGGGAAGGAGGAGCAGTATACCGACACACGCGTGCACGAATTTGCATTAAGTTACTCGCTGCACAAAAAAACTATAAATATACTTGCTACGCAAACTGTTGTGTTTCGGCAACTGATTTTTGAACAAGGTTCCTACCTTGAGAGAAAACCTTCCCCCTAGCGTCCCCTTTCGACCAGAAAAACATTCATTTCTGAGGATTAGGTAAATGCCGTTCGCCTGCTTCCCTCTAGAACGGAATCCTGCTTTAGATGGCGTCTGATGTGGTGCCGTATTTCGCCAACCGGCTGAGTTTCCGCTCTTGCATCAGATGACTGACTCCATGAGCCGGTGCTTCTCATCTCGCAGTCTGTTTTGAGCTTTCCCGACGACCCAGCTATCCATGACAGATTTTGCCACCCGGCCGAAAGGCGTTGCCTCACCCGCGTTCAGTGGGCGACCGGCGTGCGCTGCGCGCCGCACGAGCCGAGCAACCGCTGCAGCTGTGCGCGGAGCAGGGCCGGCTACGCCGCGAGCGCGCGCAGCGAGCCGCCGCCGCCGCCGCGCGGTCTGCCGGTGTTGCGCGGCGCGTGGAGCGCTCCCCGCGGTGGGGGCAGAAGCGCGCGCCGCGAGCCGCCGCCGCCGCCGCCGCCGCCGCCGCGCCGTCTGCCGGTGCTTCACGGCGCCGCGGGTGCTCCCGCGGTGGGGGGCAGCGGCGCTCACTCTCAGCGGCGCCGGGCGGCCGCCAGCCCGCACCGGCGGCCGCCCGGCGCCGCTGACCCGACTCAGGGGCGTGGCCGCCCCGATGACCCTCGGTCGGCCGGTTTTTGCCGGGGGTCGGCCGCCGCGCTGGCTGCGGGGCCGCCGCCGCCCGGCCACGGCCGGCGGCGCGTGCGCCCCCGGTCACGGTGACCTCCGTCGATGCCGACCGGCAGCCGGATGCGGCCCGAGGCTGCGTCCAGATACCAAGGGAGGAACTTCGTGGCCGTTTTGTGCGTGTTTTGTGCGGTATGCCTTGGCGTGGCAGCATTGGACTGGGTATGAATCTGTGGAACAGTATAGATCCAGGGTATGAATCTGGTGAACAGTATAGATCCAGGGCGAAGCAGTCTGTGTGATAGTCACTTCCCACAGGTAAGCGATGGCAGTTCGAACAAATCCGAATGGGATTTACTACCCGGGCTCCAAACTTCTGCTCTTGTGCGCGCGCGATGATGTGGTTGTTATTCGTGTAGCGCTTATGTTCAGTGCTTATCTTCCTTTGGGTCAGTGTCGCTCGAGTGTGGTGTCAAAAAAGGCGTTTGGACGTTCATCTTGTTCTTTGATGGCTTTGCACCAACCGAAGCCTACCACTTGACCGCCCAACAGTCTTCCTTCCGCTGCAACGTGATATCCATCATGGAGATCTTGCTGCACATTCCTCGAGTCTGACGGCCACCCAGCAATTTTTCGTTTTTTCAGGAATTAAAATGAATTTAATCAATTTCAGCAGCAAGTTTTGTCATCCCCGAGGTGTGCTGCCTGCTGTTTGTCTCCGAGGTCTGCTCCCTCCGAATCAACGCATTTCCCATCTAAGAGCTGCTACACCCAGGCTCTGACGCTGGCGTGCGCGCCGTCGCCTGTGTCCATTCTACGGCCACAAGAGCTTCCTCCTGCCCATTACCCGCCTCCGGCTCCACCTCTCTCCGCAGCAGCGTGTCGCCTTTGCCGACTGTCCCCTTAGACCCGTCTTGCTCATTTGTCGGATCTGTCTCCTCCATCTGTCCCCTTAAAGGGTGTGTGTCCTGTGTCCCCTTAAAGGGGCACAGATGGAGGGAGATCTGTCCCCTTAGAGGGTGTGGATGGACCATGTGCGAGATGGTGATTCAGTATGTACGAGGGCTCGCTGCCTTTCCTTTACCCCTGACACTTCCTCCCTCCGCAGTAACGTGTTCTCCATCTACGAGAACCTGCCAGACCCGTCGCTAGGTCGGATGAACACGGTGGTGGCCGGAGCGATCAACCTCTGCAGCTCCGTCTACATCCTGGTCGGCTTCTTCGGCTACGTCGCCCTCCACGACGTCCCGTTCGGCGGTCAGTGATGACGTCACATTCTGCGACCGGTGGGGGAGTCGGGTTAGGTGATCTGTGATGGATTGACGCTTGGAAGTTGGTGATTGCATAATTTTCGGCAGGACGTGACCAAAGTTATGTGTAACGATGTCAGAGGAGTCCTGCTTTAAATGGATACTGCCAGCCCGTTTTGGTAACGTAAGTGGAACAATTAATGCGTCACTTATAGTTGCGCAAGATCCGTTTTCACGAATGCTTGTTGAATGGAATGATGTACAATATTTTGGAGTGTTTCGGGACATCACGGGTCAATATGGACGTTGCTCCGAGTGGTTCCAGTGGGGCTTTTCCGGTTCCAACACCCGTTTCTTTTCCGGTTCCAACACCCGTTCTTTTCCCGGTTCCAACACCCGTTCCTTTCCCGGTTGCAACACCCGTTCCTTTCCCGGTTGCAACACCCGTTCCTTTCCCGGTTCCAACACCCGTTCCTTTCCCGGTTCCAACAACCGTTCCTTTCCCGGTTCCAACACCCGTTCCTTTCCCGGTTCCAACACCCGTCCTTGTTCTGGAACTGAACCTGATTGGGATAGGGCACTCTTCACGTAAGCATTGATTGAAGACCCCTATATCTCCTTTTTGCGTTTCAGCTCCTCGAAGCGTTTTCCAATCTGCTCAAATTTTATTAATTTTGCATTTTAATTTTTAGTTTTAAAAAATTTACCCAAAAGGTTTCAGTGATGATGACCATCATCATCGTCTGTTTTAGTGATGATGGCCATTCTTTCATCCATCATGTTGTAAACATCGTGCGCCCTCGCACGAATGACGAGCTCCTCGCGTGACACTGCCGAGCGCTGGAGAACCGGTAACCGGTGTCTGCCGCAGGCAACATCCTGGTCCACCTGATGCCGTCACCGGTCTCGCGCTGGATCAACATCGGCTTCGTCATGTCCATCGCGCTGGGCTTCCCGCTGATCGTCTACCCGTGTCGGACCAGCGTCAACTCGCTGCTGTTTAGACGGGTCAGTTGTGCCGCGTTCAGAGCGCTGAGGACGTTCGTTGCGGACGTTTATGATCGGCAGGACGTGTTGGTGAACGGAAGTCAGGTGAGCGCACGCTGGATGCGTAAGACGCAATGCGATTCACTTCAGGGGATGATGGTGGTAGCGGTTGGATCTGTAGTTCGTTCCGGATGTCCCTATTGACGGATAGGTGGCTGTTTGGCGCCCAAGTCAGTGTGCGACTCAGGCTGGATTTGTGAGTCAAGATGAGCTCAGCATGCAAACTGGACACGCAACCAAGACTGGACTGTGATGCGGATTAGGTTTGTGGCCGAGGCTGGAGTGGTGAGCCGGGTGGGTCCGGTGGCCCAAGCTGGAATTTGACCCAGACTGGGCTCTTCCCCGACAATGGCACTTTGACTCCTGGACAGGTGACCCGTACAGAATTGTGACCCAAACTGGACATTTGATCCAGGGGCTGAAATCGTGACCCATGCTTGGTTCGTGACCCAAGCCGGTGTTTCTGTCCAAGCTGCATCTGCAACTTTGGAGCTGCGATAATGACTCAGACCAGACGAGAACAAGGCCAGACGAGACAGGATGCCGCGGACTGGACCTAAAGCTCAGACCGGTCGCAGTGACCCGTCCAGGGTGCGCTGTGGAGAGACCGCTGATTCCGCCCGCTCTTCCAGCCGGGGTCGAGCCTGGAGCTGCCGCAGAACTACATCCCCGAAACGCGCTTCAAGTGCATCACCTTCTGCATCTTGGCGACCGCCATGTGCATCGGCATCGTCATACCCAGCATAGGTAGGTGGTGGTACGCTCGCTGCTGCCGCTGACAGCCGGGGGGTGTCTTTTGATTGCGGTGATGCTGTCTTTTGCTGCGGCAGGGCTCCGAGAATGGAGGATTGCAGTCATCGTTCGACAACCTGACAACGACAGATGAGGACATTCAAAGTTTGTATGCTGTTCGCTCTACTCTGAGCACGCTCCAGTAGGTCTTGTCCAAGCATCCAAGTTGTGGTTGCGGGTTTGCGAACGTCGAAGATAAAGATACCGATACTTTTGCAGAGGTTGTTCTGGGTCTGCTGGGCTCCACCATGGGCACCGCCATAGCCATCCTCTTTCCATCGGTGATGTTCATCAAGAACACCTCCAGGAGCAACCTGGAGAAAATGGCGGCGCAGGTGAGGCGCCCATCGGGTGACGGACTCAGCGGGGGGTTCTGCCGAGACGGGTGCGCAATGTATTTTACAGCTAGCTTTCATCTTCACGAAATCTATATGGCACGTCCAATATATCGCCTCCACCCTCACCAGGCGCATTGCTAAGGTCCAGACGCAGTCTGTTCTGAAACTCACGTAGATAATACAGTAGTATTAGCCTTATTTCTGGGAGAAAACCAGGAGAATGGAGATATAGTTGGGTTGATATTTCGGCAACATGCCTTTATCGAAACAGCAGCAGAAGTCTATCTAGTCTATCTAGTCTTCTGCTATTGTTTCGATAAAGGCATGTTGCCAAAATACCAACCCAACTCTATCCCCATTCTCCTGGTTTTCTCCGAGGAATAAGGCTCATGCCACTGTCTTATCTATGTGAATAAAGTTTCTCGCCAATGCACTGAACAACTTGTTCTAAAGCTTACCATCGGTGCAGCATGCATACATATCCGTGCAGCATAGCGTTCACGTTAGAAATGGGTTGGCATCGCCTGTCGCGTGTCATGGCCGTTGCCAACGTGCCGCGCTTGTGCTGCCTGTATTCCGCCCAGCGCCGGTGCGTCAACGCATGCTGTAAGCCACCCCAGAGCTGACATTCCGGTTCAGACGACGTTGAGCGGCGTCGCGACGTGCGACGAGCGACGTGCGACGTGCGACGAGCAATGAGCGATGAGCGACGCCTCACGCCGTCCCTGAACCTGCCGTCGCAGGTGACGTTCGTGCTCGGCATCGTGCTGCTCATCTGCGGCACCTACATGAACCTGTACGCCGCGGACCAGCTGGCGCAGGAGCCGGCGTCCGTGGCGCCCGTGCCGCAGCTTGTGACGTCACGGGCCGCGCCGCTGCCCGCGGTGGCCAACACCACGCTCAAACACGGTGTGTGCACCGCCCGGCGCTGCGAAGACTGTGGTCGCCGACGCACTAGGAATGTGGGGTCTGAGGGAGGGCGTTCAGCGGGTTGGTCAATCTAGCTGAAGCATTACGTCCTTCTTTGCCGGTCTTCGTTGCAGGCTTTAAAGGGAATGTTTGATATTTGAAGACGTTGAAGCAAACGCCCGATGTGATAAAATAAGCTCACTTACAATTATTGGTATACCGTTAAGTGGAAAAGACTGCTATAGACAACACAATCCTCTGTCAAGTAAATCCGCTCCTTAATACGTCATTGTTTAATTATGTCATCGTACCTTGTGCGACATTGATTGAGAGCCAAATTTTGCTTATGAACGCCAGACATGAACGACTCGAAAATAATCTTTTTGTGACCTTATTATGATGCCATGGATGCCTGGGTGACCTTGAAACAGTCTCCCCGAAATATCCCGCGTATCTTCATATCTTTGAAATACGCGTAAGAGATACGCGTAGCCGCGCATCTTTGAGCGTGTAGCTAAAAAACTAGAGGGGCTTAGGTCTTTAGAAGGGCAGGGCTGTGAACTACACTAAATGATCGTTAAGATGGCTCTTTCAGTTCAAAACCTCACACAAATGTTGAGCACTCCGTGTAACCTGGTGTCTGTGCCTTCAACTCCTACCGGAAGTTCCAAGCAGGAGCTGCTGTCATATGTTGCGTCGGTCTCGATCATTTCACCGCCTCACCAAACATGGCGCTAAAACAAAAACAAGACATGGCCAGTCTCTCATCGCAGTGTACATGGGTTCACTTTCGAAAATCTTTGGGAGGAGATGCACCAGTACAGTTAATTGACGTGTGGACGGCGACATCGACTCCGTCCCTGCGTTTCCTGACGCGGTCGTTCGTCTGACCCGGGTCCGCCGCCGTTTTGCAGACGCCGTGGGGGAGACGCCGCTGGTGGCGGCGGCCATTCCCGGGGCTGAGGAGGTCCGGAAGGAGCCTGCCGTGCCGGAGCCGCCGGCGGACGGCGGCGCCGAGCCCCAGGAGCGCGGCGCCGAGCAGCCGGAGGCGGCGGAGCGGCAGGCGAAGGCCGGCGGCCGCAAGGCGAAGAGCCGCGACCGGAAGCGCGAGGACGTTGGCGAGAAGCCGAACGACGCGGGCCGGAAGAAGAAGGATGCAGGTCGGAAGGCGGAGGACGTAGACCCGAAGGCGGAGGACGCAGATCCGAAGGCGGAGGAAGGCGAGCAGAGGACGGAGGGCGGTGACCGGCTGGACGCGGGCGCGCTGAAGAAGGAGGAGGAGGAGCGCGAGAGAGACGACGCGCTGAAGGCCGCCGACCCTCAGAAGAAGGAAATCGAGGCCAAGCAGGAGCAGGTGCTGCAGAAGCTGGAGGAGACCCACAAGGAGCAGAAGGAGCTACTGAAGGAGCAAAAGGAGCTGCTTAAGGAGATGAAGCAGCAACGCTCTGCCAAAGAGTTGGAGCGGAACGCCGGTGTTCCGGACAATGCGGGTGTGGATGTTCAAGCTGGAATACAGCAGCCTGTAGCCAACGTTGGAGTGCAGCAACCTATGGCCAACGCTGGAGTTCAGCAACCTATGGCCAATGCTGGACTGCAGCAACCTATTGCAAATGCAGGAGGACAACAACCTGTGGGTAACGCTGGAGTACAGCAACCTATGGCCAACGCTGGAGTACAACAACCTATTGCAAATGCTGGAGTACAACAGCCTATGTCCAGTGCTGGAGTGCAGCAACCTATGGCCAATGTGGGACTGCAACAACCTATGGCCAATGCTGGAGTACAACAACCTATGGCCAATGCTGGAGTACAACAGCCTATGGCTAATGCTGGAGTACAGCAACCTGTGGCCAACGCTGGAGTGCAGCAACCTGTCATCAATGCTGGAGTACAGCAACCTATGGCCAACGCTGGAGAACCACAACCTGTGGCTAACGCTGGAGTACAGCAGCCTATGGCCAACGCTGGAGTACAGCAGCCTATGGCCAACGCTGGAGTACAGCAGCCCATGGCCAACGCTGGAGCACAGCAGCCCATGGCCAACGCTGGAATACAGCAACCTATGGCCAGTCCTGGAGTACCTCAGCCTATGGCCAACGCTGGAGTACAGCAGCCCATGGCCAACGCTGGAGTAATGCAGCCTATGGCCAACGCTGGAGTACAGCAACCTATGGCCAGTCCTGGAGTACCACAACCTATGGCCAACGCTGGAGTACAGCAGCCCATGGCCAACGCTGGAGTACAGCAGCCTATGGCCAACGCTGGAGTACAGCAGCCCATGGCCAACGCTGGAGTACAGCAACCTGTGGCCAATGCAGGAGTACAACAACCTATGGCCAATGCAGGAGTACAGCAACCTATGGCCAATGCAGGAATACAGCAACCTATGGCCAATGCAGGAGTACAGCAGCCTATGGCCAACGCCGGAGTACAACAGCCTATGGCCAACGCTGGAGTACAGCAACAGAACGTGGTTGGGATGTCTGGCCAGCAGGTCGCCGGCCAGCTCGTAGCTCAGCAACAGCAGCCGGCTATGCCAAACCAGCAGCCGCTGTTTCGGAGCCCGAATCAGCAGGCGGGCTCCAACGAGCTGCCGATGATTCAAAGTCAGCAGCCGAACCAGCAGGCGGCGTGGATTCACCAGCAGGTGATGTCACAGCAGCAGCAGCAGCAGCAGCAGCAGCCGGTTCAGCAGCAGCAGCAGCAGCAGCCTGTTGGCGCGGCTGGACCAGCACCGGCGCCTCCTCCTGTACCAGCTGCTGACAGCGGAAACGGCGATCGCAAATTTGTGAGATTTCCTTTCGCCTAGTTCGCCACCTATTTGGGCTTTAATCTTCAGTGTATTTGAGGCAAGGTTGTTTGCTTTCCAAAGTTTTCAACGGTTTTTCAACAGTGAGTGTCGTATGGGTGATCACTCGCCGTGATGCTTTAGATAAGCAAGCGTGAAGCGAGAGTAACGTTTTGCAATGCTTCGGCAACAAGATAAGGTAGCAATGCTGTATGACACGCTCCTCCGTCCTAACAATCGGCAAGTATTGATCGTATCTGCAACTAGAGTCCACATTTCAACAAAGCACGAGCGACTTTTCGTAGACCTTCGTATGGAATTGTTGCCAGTCCTGCTGCCATCTGTCGACGTGTTCTCGAATCACACCGTGTGATCCCGGCTGGCCGCAGCAGCACTCTTGGCCGTGGCTGCAACCATCATGAAAATCATTATCATGTTTCGTCATGAATCATTCAATATCCATGGCTTAATGTTTGACTCCGGTCAATGGGTTTCGTGCTGTACGATAAAAAGGAAGACGCGACAACGGTAAAACACCAAGAACGTAAAATCCGCTCACAAGCAAGTTCTAGCATCTGGGTCACATTGGTAAAGTGTGCACGTGAACAGAGCATAGCTCAGGGAGCTACAATGGTTTCAGGACGAAGCAGCGCATTGCGACAATGCCCTGCGCGTTAATCTTAGTCTTTCACGCAGTTTTTCTGGCTGCCTGAGCTGGAACTTGCTGACCAATGTTGAACTGCAGCAACCTATGGCTTGCTCCAGAAAGCGGGCAGTCCCGGAGCGACGACCACCGCCGACCTCGTGACGCGCTAACAGCGGTGCGAGGGGTGGACAGCGACCGGACCGCCACGGGAGCACAGGGGTCATTAGGGCTTTGAAGGCGCCAATGGGGTCACGGTGTGGAACAAGGTCACTCATGCCACATCAGCTTAACGCCTACAAGACAGGCGAAATGTGATCTGGGCCACGCGCCCACAGATGATCCGGGCCGCGAAATTCGGCCTTGTACTCGGCATAGAAAGCGAACCGCGGCCACGTCCCAGACTTAGAGGCAGTAAAAGATGAGAGGAGAAACGTGGGCTTCGATTAGGAGTTTATGGGTGTGAAAAAGTGATAAATCTGATATCACTTTAGACAAAATAGGATGGATTTACACTTTTTAGCAGTTTGGATATGATTCTCCCAGCGCCGCATACAGTCGAAGGTAACTCCCATCTTTACGGACGCTGCTGAGGGTGGTATGGAGTTGGAGCTGTTGAGAGCAGAGGATGATGGCTTTGCTGGTCTGGGGTACCCATTCGCTGGTCGACGATGGCTCGTTCGAGCCGCCCTCTTTCTGACTGTGCATGTTGCACAGGGCGTTTCCTTATCATGAGGCGTCGTCCCGTAACCGCCCGCCACCAGCCATTGTGGCTCCCCAGAGCTATGCAATGTGCTTGTCGAGATTTTGCTATTGTGATATCGAAGATAATGTTTGCGCCGATGCGTTTTTCTTACGTCCTCGGGGCGTTTTCGCCGTGGTTGCCTCATTGTTTTTCTCCCGTAACATGCAGCACATTGCCTCGAATCAAACACTAAGCCATATATTTAGAACGATTCGTACTAAATATATGATGACGATGATCACCTTGGTGGTGATGGCCGGGCAGCCGGAATCCGCTTCGGCACGCGGCGAGCGCGCGGGGTTATTGGAAAACTCGTTGACAGATGGCAGCAGAAGTGACGGATTCCGTGGGGAAGATCTGCAAATAGTCGCGCGTGCATGGCTACCCGCTCCCAGCAAGTTCCCAATGAACTAAAACCGTGTTCGTCAGCGTAACTTACAGTGCTGGCTCTCTCACCAGATGTCTCTGCCGGCTGCGCAGCCGCGGGCGCGTCGTGACGCCCCTGAGCCTTCGCCGTCGCCCCCCGACGAGATGCTGGTGCGTTTGGCCGAGAACTGGGCCGCCGTGGAGGCGGCCGGCTCGCGTGGCGCGCGGTAGCAGCCGTCGCCGCTGTGAGTGGCAGCGGGGGCCAGCGCCGAGGAGGCAGCGGCGCCGGGGGAAGTGGACCGACGGGCCAGTGGAAGCCGCACCGGCGGACCTCAGTGCGCGGTGATTGTCCTGGTGCAGGACGCGGTGCAGCAGTGACGCGTCTGCGACCTCGCGGGGATGTGGGGTGTTTGTGTGGGGGTGAGGAGCGGCCAGTGCCGGGGCGCCTCGTGCGGTGTTATGGCTCTGCGCCCCTGGGCCGGCCTGGGGGGGGGGGGGGGGGGGGGGGGGGGATGATGTGAAGCGTTTCAAGGCGGACGCCAGGTCGGGCCGGGACCTGGTGGACGGAGATGGTGGGCGGTGCTTGCGCGTGCTGATCACGATGACGCACTGTCTGCGTGACGGGTCTCGTGACAGCTGGAACTGGTGCGCGTTTTGGGCACCGTTGCAATGACATGTGTTTGTGTGGGGGGGGGGGGGGGAGGGGGAATTGCACAGTGAGCGCTGGCAGTGATAGGTATGACCCGGAACAGCTGTCTGACCCCATAGGCGGTAACACGGCTCTGAGTACGTCAGGGCCTGACCCGCCACGAGGTGGAGTGTCAGGTGGGCCATGCCAGGATTGTCCTGACCCTCCGCGGTGACATGGGATATTTTCGGTGTTTTGAAAATTGGTTTAAGCAATTGTGCGAATGAGAATGACAGATGAGCATGCTTTTCGCTGGACTTTTGGGGTTCAGGGGTTAGAGTCAACTGGAGTGTATGTTATTCTGTTTTATATTGCGTCACAAGCAATGCGAGTGAAGGATACAATTGCGCTTCTCTCATCAAAGTGAGAAACGATTGGTCTCGCTGGCTGTTCGTTGGCTGATCTTTCGAACAGAATTTTACCTCTTTCGAACAACGCAATTTTGCAAAATCATGCTTGTCGCTCATGCTTGCGTCTCTCGTCTCACGTCCCGCGTCTCACGTCTCTTGCCTCGTCTCACGTCTCGCGTCTCACGTCTCTTATCTCGTCTCACGTCTCACGTTTCTTCTCTCGTCTCGCGTCTCGCGTCTCGCGTCTCGCGTCTCTCGTCTCACGTCTCTTCTCTCGTCTCTTCTCGTGTCTCGCGTCTCACGTCTCACGTCTCACGTCTCACGTCTCGCGTCTCCTCCACACGGTAAGGAGGACAGGAGGCCAGTGGACGTCGTTCCGCGCTAGTGTTTGGGTATTGACCGCGTGTGACGTTTGAGTTCTGATCGCACGCTACGAATGAACATGGGTTGCGGAGCGCCAGTGGTGTTGCCAGGACTGGGGGAACCCAGGTAAGCCGTGGGGGAAAGATCGGAACCAGCGTTCTGTCAGTTTACGCGAATGCAACACATTTCGTCGTTTTTCCTAATGCCAATTGGCCATTACCACGCCATGTCTGCGTAAGTCGACGGCAAAAATAACGCCTTATTAAAGATCATTGATTGCAGACAAATTAGTTACAAGCCGCGCGCCTTTTAAATGACAGATCTCGGCGTCTGTCTCAGAACTAAATCCTACATAGAACCAATCATGGTTTGTCAGACCCAAACTGCGAGCTGTGAAATAAATATTGCGGGTTGGGCCACTGGCTAAGCGAGTCATAGCTGGACTCCGAGATATTTTCAACCGGCGTGGCCCAGCCAGTTCTAGCCAAGCCGTTGTGCTTTTATGAAATTGTAAATCTTTAGAACCACTGATTGCAGGTTTGCACAGTTTTCAGCAATAACAAGCGCAGTTCTTCAAAAATTGCGCGGTGTGAATAATGAACAGCTTGACATTTGTATGCACGTGGCTTGCAGAGGCGGGGTTTTCCTTCAGCATTGCATTATGGCCGCAATTTAATTTCTCGATTCGACTAACGCGAAGAAGGCAAAATCCTCGGCTTCAAACTTTCGCGAGAACGTGCGTCGAAAGCGAGTCTGGACGTCGTTAACCCGTCACTGCAGTGATGCGAGACTAGTCACGAAGTCTGTGTCTCTGTGTCGCCTTTCGGCACAGCAGGCGTAGAGGTTAAGCAGCCGAAGAGGTTAAACATATGTAATGGGCAGCGCAGGCCTGCAATTCCCAGGTCAGTCAAACACGAAAGCAGCGTGCTCGTGAACACATGCCCAGGCGCGGCAACCCACAACCATCCAAAAGCTCGGAGCCTGATCGAACCTGCCACCACGCTGTTATTATTTGCTGTTTAGATTTGAGACCTTTCGGCAAGCCATGGCCGTTTCAGGGTCATGGGATGAAGCGGGATTGATAGTGGCGGGGCAGAACTGCATGCACGTGGACTCATCCGCCGAGGCTTTTCCTGCACAGGAACCCCTCTGCGGGATGTGTGCTCGGCGCTCGGACCGCTGCTCCACCTGGCGGCGCTTCTGTCCTTTCATCGCTGACGCGTTCAACCTACCCCGGACGAGCGGGGCGTCGCGAGGATGCAGAAGAAAGCATGAAGGATGCGAGGACGGATGTCCACCACGCCCCTGCCATGTCTACGTATTTAACTTGACAGCTACCAGCTTCCAAATAATCGCGCAGAATAACCCGCCAACAAGTGTGCTTCCCCTACACATTGCGGGTGATAGAACAAGGCATCGCTCACCCTAGATGGCAGCACACGACAGCCCTTACCCTGGATGGAAACACTTTGTGGGGCGACAAAGCACAATTATCAGCAATTATTATGATCACGAACGAGGAAACGAGCCATCGTGCCTGTAACAGTGCGGGACGTTCGGTGCAGAACAGACGTGCTACTGTTTGCATACTGCGAATCCGCTGTTTTGGGACGTTTTTAAAAGAAATGATTCACATTTGAAGATATTGGAGCAGGCATCGGACATAATAAAAAAGCTCACTTATAACCATTGGTATACTTCTAAGTAGGAAAGACTGCCCTAGACAACACAAGTTCTCTTTTAAGTAAATATGCTTCTAAACAAGTCATCGTTTGATTGCGTCATCGTGTACATTGCACGGTGTAGGCAAATAGAGCCGCTGCAAATGATCTCAATGGAAATGATCTAAAAGCTGTCCCATTGGTGCGTGTGCCAGTAATTGACCAAGAAGAGACCAAGGGCACCTTCTCTCAGATCCGTCCCGAATATGAGATATCTTGGCTTAAACAGTACCATGAAAAGCAAACTAACTGTACCATGAAAAGCAAACAACTTTGCCGTCGTGTTCGCTGTGACCAAAAACCACCTACATCTCTCCTTTTTTCGTATTACCAATGCCACAAGTTTGAGAGCCGCACGTTATTGCAATTCATCGCGGTCGTCGGCTAAGTTTGTCAAACCTGAGTGGGCTCAACGTCCTGTGTGCCAAGTACGGTTATCCGGTGAGTCGACCACCAAGTCACGTGATCTTGTGACGTCACCATATGTCTATAATGTCGGCGTCGGAACTTCGCTTCGAGGTGCGCAGGATTTATCTGATTGGACAGGATTTGATATTTGTTTAAATAATAAATCGTTCTAGTTCTAGACCAGTCTAACAGAATAGAATGCTGAAATGGTAACTGAGAGCGCGAAATAGCCTTAGTAGCCCGGTGCGCTCGTAAAAACGCCAAGGATCTTCATGAATCAGTGCCTGAACGGCCCCCAACGATGGGTGCGTTGGGGGCGTCCAGAGTAAGATGGCCGCTGTGTATTTTGAGTCTATCGATATTTTTTCATCGCCATTGCCTCACACTTGCGAGATGCTCATTCCACCTCCTCCGTCCATCGCGTGCACCATTCTGCGAGGCGAAGAGCGTAACACAGAACCACGTAACCGCGAGCGAAGTAACAGAACCATTGCGAAAGCACGTGACATGCGCGGTTTCTCCCTTCCACGGTGGCATAGCGTCCGTTACCTCACGCACATTTAGCTTCATAACGCTTTAAAAAGATGCTGATCAACGACGGTATAATGGCAGTACAGCTGGTTTCGAAATTCACAGCAAATTTTCATTTGCTTCCTCGTGTCAAAATATCGCTAAACGCTAAACAAATATTCACTATTTTAAACAAACATTTGCGCAAAGCAGACTGCGAGCTTAGTAAATGCATGCTATTGGTCGTAGCGTCCGTCCCGGTGGCTTAGTTGGTTAGAGCGCCTGCCTCCCGATTCACCCACCCGTGGCGGGAGGGGTTCGAGTCGCTTTAGGGCGCTCGCTATTTGCCCTTGACAGGTATGGCCTGCGGCCGGTGGCAGCGGTCGCGCTAAAGGTCAGTTGACGTCAGAGGGCAGGACGGATCGTGCTGAGCATTGCGGCACGTTAAGCTTTCGCCACAAAATTCTGCCGTTGACATGGAATTGCGCGATCGGATGGTAGGGGTCAGGGCTCACACAACAAGCACTGCTTAGCGTGAGCTCTGATCCCGGAAATCCATCCATTCAAAGGCTTCGGATCAAATCTTAAAAAAGTGGTTCGGAATAAAGCAAATCGGGAACTCAAACAAAAGCCATGAAGCGGAAGTTAGCCGTGTTAGCGCAAAAGGCGCGATTTACCTACCCCGCTTTTGCATGCTTTCATATTTTTGACGATTTTCCCATCAAACTATATTTCGTGCTGCAGCGTGCGATGCTATGTTGCAGCCTTGGATCAAACGTTTGGCCCAATACTCTTACCACATGTTCCTTCCCACTTCTGATCATTAAAGCCAGAAAGATTGTCATGAGATTTATGCAGCAGGCTATTGGCAATAACGACCGACTTTGATTTTAAATTGTTTTATCATGAGGGTAACAAAGCCACGGCTATTCTAGATACGGCTGGGCATCGTGCGTCAGCTGGCTAACTTTGCCAAGACTGGATTTAAATCAAAATGGCGCTAGTACTCACTTTGTTGGCGGCTAATTGAGTAAGAGGACAAAAAGACGAAACACAAAAAGGCGAAGAGCGAAACTGAGATGGCAAAAAGTCATATCATAAAAAGTCAAATGGCAAAAGGTTAATCAGGATGAAAGTGGACTGCAAGAGGCAAAAAGCCAAACAGTCAAAAGGACAGAAGTCAAATGGCAAGAAGTCAAAAGAATAAAATCGAAATGCAAAAAGTCAAACAGCCTGATGTTAACAGTCAAAACTCAAACAACCAAAAGTAAAAAAGTCAGCTGGATAAAAAAACAAAAAGGATGCAGGTCAAACGCAAAAGTCAAATAACAAGAAGTAAAAGGGATAACCT